CCTGCACAGTAATTGAAGTTCTTCAAGATGGTTGTCCCGGTGGGTGCTCCACTTTAGGCATCTTGGTGCCCTCAGCTTTGAATCAGAGATTTGTAGTAGCAATGCCTGTTTGGCCACACACATGCAGCAGTCGTCTCATGCTGCTCCAAGTGGCTACCTAGTGAACAACCAACCATCCCACAGTTCCTTCTCTACCCCAGAGGATTGAATGAAAACTCTGAATAAGAGGGGAGGGAATGGACAGTGGAACACATGCAGGGACACACATCTCAAAGATCCTCAGAAACTGTGTAGGGTAAATAACTCTCTTTTTCTTTGAGGAGAATCCCTCTGGGTGCTCCACTTTGGGTAGAGTAGAGCAGTGCCTCCAGTGGAGCAGAGGGACTTTGGAATCAGATTGTTAGCAGTGGATAGCACTTGTTGGCCAAACTGAGCATCTGCTGCTGATTGTCATTTAAGAGCATAGCATTTGGTAAAGGTATGAGCTGCTTTGCAAATGTCCATTATAGGAATAGGTGGCGGGGGGGCATGGAGCGAGATTGTGGGGGTATCAATTGAAATTAACTAGGATTAAAAGGCTAAAAGGAAGAAATATGAAGCTATCTATGGAATTGGAGGTTGCGCTGCTGTCACTTCAACTCAAGCCAAGGACACAGAGAAGAAACAGAAGGACGGTTGGCTGTGCGCGCTAGGTAGCTGTCCGGAGCAGCATGAGACAGCTGCTATGCGCGTATGCAGTCAAACAAGTGCTGCTACTACAAATTTCCAATTTGAAGCATAGGGCTTTAGCCAAGACACTTAAAATAGAGCACCCACAGGGACCCTCCTCAAAGAAGAAAAGTACATTTCAAGTACAAATCCTTTTTCCTTTGAAGAGATCTAGTGCCTGTGTGTAATCGGACAGAGATTCTGCCCCCACTGAACATAGTTGTACGCGTGACTGGACTGTGCAGGCACCATCTCCACAGAACAGCTCAAACTGCTCTATCCCTGGGCTACCGGGGCAAAACTGGACATCCCCTGAAATTACTGCTTCAGGATGGGGTGGGGTTGGGTCAGTCACTGGAACTGAGCAGGAAGCATGTCTCTCTTGTGCTCTCAAGGGCCACCCGTGCAGCGTGAAGGAGGAAACCAGCTGACGTGAATGAACAAGACGCAAAAGCTGGACTGAGGGAAGGGAAAGGAAAGGAAGAAATCAGTCTAAGGAGCCTGGTTAGACTAGGACTGGAGGTGGGCAGGCAGAGAAATGGTTTTGACTGGAACTGGTGGACAAGGAGATTGGAACTGGAAGCTGGGGAAAGAGGTGACTAGGATCCAAAAGGGAGGGAAGGCTGGACCTGCTTGGGCAAGAAGGCTAGGACTGGGAGCCAATGAGGGACGTGGGAGAGACATGGATCCAGCTGACTGGGAGTTACAGGATATCAAGATTAGACAAGGAGCTTGGACGAAACTGGGACTGGCTGGCCAAGGAGACAGGAACCAAGAACAGCAGCCAGGGGAGGAACAGGGAGGAGTAGCGGATAAATCCAACCAAGAGTTGGGATGCCAGGGAAGAACTAGAATTGACAGAGCAAAAAAACTGGGATAAGGAGTCAGGATCAGGTAGGACTGAGGCAAGGACCCAGGCAGGCAGTATGGGAAGACAGCTGTATAATGCGTCCGGTGAAGCTGACTTGGGAGGAAAGCAGGAGAGAGAATGGATGAGGAACCTGGAGGGAGTACTAGTACTAGCTGAGTAAGGACTGAGATGAGAATCCTGGGGAGTGGAGACTGGAACTGGCTAGAAGAGGAGAACGGGACTAGGACAAGGAGCTAGGGGCACACACGTGACAGCAATGCAACTGAGATAGGTTGGAGGGGCCAGCACATAAAGCGTCACATTTGGAGGAATTGGCAGAAGAGACTGCACCTACTGGAGAACGCTACCCTCCATACCCTGAAACAGAACTCAAGCCCTCAAATCTCACCATCTTTCTGCTGTCAGCAAGAACCTGACAGTCAAACCTGTCAGTGCTGGGCCACATAAAGGGCCACAAAAGTCAACTAATGCTACAGGTTATTCAGTTAATTCAGCTTGCAGACATCTGTGTCGTAAATGTAAATTTTCAAACCCTGCTGATGATCAATGTGGGGTCGAAATGATACCACATGAAATTTCTATTTTTTCATTTTTCTTTTGTATAAATCTAGGAAATTCCCCACACAAACCTATACCACAAGGACACTAATAAGGCTGTACAGTCAAGAACTCAAAACTAAGAAAATACCACAATGAGGCTGTCTGTGCAACCTTAATTCAGCCGCTTAGTTTGTATGTATTATGACAAAGTCTTTAAGGACATGATCACATGCTTCCCCCCCCATCGCCTAAGATCCCATTCTCATTCCGTGACCAGGACAGATTATGTTCATTTAATGAACTACTATTCAGTATTTTGCTTCATCTTCACTGCTCAGTGTATGTCCCCACACCTTATTTCTCACACACTATTCAACCCCTTCCTCTGAAGACAGAATTCTTAATTTCCTCAGGAGCTTTTCTATGACATCCATCACTAGAGGATCTGAGAGCTTCACAAATATTAACTGAATTATCTTTACGCCACCCTGTGTGATGAAAAGATGTTATGATATCCAAAGCTGGTCTAAGCAGTGCACTGAATAAAGCTTAAGTTCCATGGAAAATATAGCATGTGATCACATAATTCAATGCTCTATTATAAACATGCTCTGCCTTGAAAAAGGAGTAGATCAAAGCATACTGGGGAACTTTCAGTGCATAACAGCCAAGTCCACACAGACACATGCATGGAAGTGTGGGATAGATTTACAACTCAGCTTGTGGTCGACTAAAAGTGTTCCTACAGACAAGTCCATAGTAGACATGTTTGTAATGAAAATTCAGAAACAAAAGGGATGAAAACTGAAGAGATACAGAACATGAATGTCTCACCTGTCAAAGGTACAAAATGATAAAAAATGCACTCAGTCAATTGCAAACAATTCCTTTTGGATCCAGAATGACACTGACATTAATCAAAATATTATATATTTTATTTTTCAATTACTTAAAATGTGCTCAGAGTGTGTTTGATACATATGCTGAATAAATTTAAAACATATAAAATAAATAAAATCAGAGGTTAGTGTCTCACCTCATTCACCCGGGGCTTGTTAATAATGTTTTTGGCATTTGAGGCATATCTCAAGGTACTCATGGTCTCATTGTAGCTGGAGCTAGCAGGAGAGATGGCTTTAAATGAAGAACAAAAACTGATTTAAAGAGATTACTGTTTTTATAAAAATAGTAAATTTATTAAAAACTTAAAATGTCTTTAGGGACTTTTCTCAAGACCAAAAATCCCTTAACTTATAAAACACATCATCTAATAGAGCTGCTTTGTTCACGCTTAAATTTAGTTCCACTGATTTCCTTCAATAAGATTATTCCTTTGCATGGGTGAAAATTTTTGCAAGACCAAGCTTTACATGATGTAATGGATCTCATACCAAAGTAGTAGCTTATTTTTCAGCACAACACAACAGACACCACATATAAAGTGAACAGGAGACTGAACTCACTGGCAATCATAATGGTCTTCGAGTTGCCACCTAGACTGTCCTTCAGAAGCCAGGTGAGGATGGAGTCACGATATGGGATGTAAGCCGGACGCCTCGGCCCACTGATACTGCCTGCAGAGTGACTGCTCACATGGTTGTCCCCTTCACTGGGTATGCTGTTTATGCTCTGGCAGCTGCTGAACATCTGAGAGTTTTGTGCTGTGGGTAACACAATAGACATTTTCTGAGAAAGGTTATTTTCAATGGGCTTAGATTGAAATTTCTTGTCTACTGTATTTGGTGTGTCCTTATTTCTCTCAATTCCGTATCCTAATTGGCTGAAATAATAAAAAATATTCCTCGTTCTGTATTTTACACTGTCCTGCTGGCTCTCCTCTGATACTCAAGTGTTTAAAACCTTATCAGTTGTTTATCCGAAATTTTGTTTTAGAAATCAAGTTAGATATCACTGCATTTTTTCTAATGAGGGCTATTTTCATTCTATAATGTCACATGAGTACATGAAGGGGCCTCAGAACTGGTCTCTTTAGCTTGGTATTCTAAACCTAACACACTTTTAAAATACAGCACATAGTAAAGGATCTTGTGGCTTTGTGTATAAAATAAAAAAAATATTCAATTTATAACACATACCTAAAGTGGAGATGACAATTCCCAGAGTAACCAATGACTTGTTAATGTTGGCACCTTCTGTAATTCGATCTTTGCAATAACTGGGATCAGCTCTTTCACTATAACATACATCAGGGAAAAAAATACAAACCACCTGAATGTACTTCATATTTAACACATGCGAGGGAGCTCTTGAATGAGAACATGTTCTTTTGAGGTACTACAGAGGTCTCCAATGTGGTGCCCGCGGGTGCCATGGCGCCCGCTGGGGCATTTATGTGCACTCGCCTAGTGACCAGGGCCGACCCAAGCCATTCTTCCACCCCGGACCCCAGGCGCGCGGCACATGCGCAGCCCCACCCCCTGGTACCCAGGAGCCCCAAACGGTTGGGGACCACAGAGGTACAAGAACGACGGAATTTAATCCTCTGATGTAAACAGCATACACGTTGAGCATTTTATAGAAAATGTGTTCCTCTTATGCTCTTTTTTAAAGGGCAGCAAATCAGGACTCTGCTCTTCACCACATCCATATATACCCTTTTTAATTGCAGAGTAGGGATGTTAAGGACTAGTCGACTATCCGATAAGCTTATAGGATAGTCAGTCAACTAGCCCAGTGTTTCTCAACCGGTGGTACGCATACCTTAGGGATATGTGAGAGAATTCTGGAGGGTACATCAACACAAGTGAAATTTGGCAAAAAATGTTCAGGATTTTGCCCTGCAAAGGGGATCAGGGAGAGGACAGCAGCGTGTGCTTGTCAAATTGAATGTTCAGAGCCATGTGCCTGGACGTTAACAGCCGCTGTGAGCATGTGCACCAGCGTTGATGGGAAAAGTGCTTGGCTGCAGCAGTTCCGGCGAGACCCAGAGAAGTTCCAAGCTGGGGGGGCAGGGAAAAGAAAATCATTTCCATGGCCGCCTCACCGAGTTCGTTTCCTCTCCGGTAGCCTCCCTGGGTTGCTCCAGTGGGGAGGGCGGCTGAACCTGGAGACACGCATTACACTCACCCCTGCTAGCAGCTAGGTACAACGCATCCCCATCACCCCTTCCCCACGGTGCTGCGGAGAGGAGCTAAAAGGTGGCGAAGTGGCACAATAAGCTTTGCTCCAAAGGCCCCCACCCCTGCATCAGGGAGGCGCCGGGCTGAGGTGGGAGCGTACAGCCCCACGTGGCCAGTCTGGTGCTGGTGGGCCACTTGCTCCCTGCAGATAAGCCGTCAAGGCAGGGCTGGGCGGCGGGAGTGGGCACTTCAAAGGTAGGGTTACCATACATCCAGTGCCTGGGTCTGGGGGAGGGGGAGGGCATTGGGTTAGATGAGAGAGGGTCTGGGGATGCCTGGCTCTGGTGGAGGGGTGGGTGCATTGGGTTAGAGCAGGGGATCTGGGGGTACTCCATTTTTTTAAAGGCTACTTTATTTAAAAAGGTTGAGAAACACTGGTGTAGGGTATTTCCCACGTTTGCTATTATAACTCTAGAGATTTGCAGAAATTTTTTTCCTGTGCCCTTTCTTCTTGTTCCTCTGCCTTCTCTCCTTTACTTGTGTATTTGCATAGAACCAACTGCATAGAGGACTATCCTACTCCATAAGACTAGTTGAACCCCCCGCCTTGAAAAGGGGGAAAAGGGGATACTTCAAAGCGGCAGTGCCGCACAGCTGAGGACTGTCCCCCGCTGGGGACTCTTGTGCATTTCAAAGCCTGTACGCCGCCTGCAGCCCAGAGTCAGCAGGACTTCCCCCTGGCCCCAGGCCGCATGCAGAGTTCCTCCTTTGAAATGTACAAGAGCCCCAGTGGGAGGAATTCGGAAGTGCCTATCAACTAGTCAAGCAGTTGATGGAAATTCCATCAGCTGCTTGACTACTCAGTTAACCGTTACTTAATATCCTTATTGCAGAGCTCCGCTGAAATAGAACAATGGTGTTGCAAATGGCTAGTGGTAGAGGAACACAGAGCATACTTTCTTTCCCCCTCATGGATCCTGCTACCCTGTTTAACACGGAGTCACTACTGTTTTGCTCCTTTCTATGCTGTACCATAATGGAGAGAAAACTGATTTTAGCTCACTATTGTTGCATATGGTTTTGGTGAATCCATCTTTCATAATGATACTGGTTCAATGATACTCTACTCCCAAAACAAAACGATACACAACAAAGTAACAACTTTAGCTCAATATCCTCTTTGCTTTCATATACAGAAGTTATACTTAGCATTTTTTCAATTCAGTTTTCAAACATATAATTTCCATTTTTAAAACATCAGCATAATCAATTGTATGTAACACAGCAGTTAATATGTCAATAGAGCATTTCCCCCTTAGTTCATTATTACCTGCCTGCAAGGTCCACCAGGTTGATCTTGCTTGCAATTTCAGAGGGAAGACTGTTCTCCAATATTGCCTGAAAGGAAAATGTTATTCCACGTATTCAAATTTATAAAAATACAAGACACTACATGTTCTACAGAAGTGGTGAATATCTGGGTCTTCTACTTGCTATGTGATCTTACATCATACAATATTGTCAAAACATCAACCCAACAGTTCTCTTAAGTTACATGCAAAGCCAACTCGCATGCTCATTTTCTCTTGAACAAAAATCAATGCCTAAAGGCGTTATGAAAATATTTTCTTTTAGATCTGACAAAAATCACTATTAATGTATTCTAACAAACTGTAATTCTTTTGTGCAACTCCTGAAAAATATCTTGAATGTTCTAAATTTACAGGATGTTAGAAGAGAGAAATGGAAAAGATCTATTATATGACTGAAACCATCTCATCACAGTGTCCTTTGAAGTGTACTAAGACTACAGGGTTTTGTCAACAAAAGTGGACTTTTGTCGACACAACTATATCTGTGTCTACACTACCACCGAGTTCTGTTGACAGCGGTAAACCTCATTCTACAAGGAATAACGCCTTTTGTTGACAGAACTCTGTCGACAGAAGGCGTTAGTGCATCTACACTGTCCTTTGCGTCTACACTCTCATGTCGACAAAGCAGCTTGCTTTGTCAACAGAACTGGATGTAGTCTAGACGCTCTTTGTTGACAGAAGCTTTGTCAACAGTATTTGCCGACAGAGCTTTTGTCGACAAAAGCCTGTAGTCTAGACGTACCCTTACAGTGCCCCCAGAAAAAGGATGTATCAGATAAGCACACTATGGATCAAGACGCTTAGGAGATGAACACAGAAATCTCAAAAAGACAAAACAGTCAGAGGAAGAATTAAAATACTACTCTTTATATTAAGATCCAAATCAGTAGTAACTGCACAGTACAAAAGGTAGTGAAACTGCAAACACCTTACCACACAGGAATTTTCACAACATTATTGGGGTGATATTGCAATATAAAGATCAGTTTTCAATTTCATTTTTTTTCCTTTCACTAGGAGCTTTTGGCTGCACTCCTAACCATAAACTGGCACAAGGAAATAGGAAGACTTCAATAAGTACAAAGCCTTTCAGGTGAAATAGGAAGTGGAACAAAATTTGCGGATTCAAAGAAATTAAATAGCATAATTTCTACTGAGACTCCTGAAAATAGCACAAACTTTGTACAGTATGTCAAACAATGTCCTTTGTGGGAGAACGAGAAAAAAATATTGTAATATTTAGCTAACCTGAGTGTATTGAATGGTGAAGATGGCATGGGATCTGCTGCTGGCATCATGAACATGTGTAGCTGCTGTGATTCTATATAAAAAGTGCAAAAAAAAAGTTTAGTTGGGATAATTCATGTTTCTAAAGTGCAAACACAAGAGTCAACTAATTAATGAAGTCTAAGACTAAATAAATGTAGCTTTAACTAGAGTGGCCAAATTCTGAGATCTGGCCAAATTGAGCCCCATATAGGACCTCAAAAAGTGGAGGGCAAAGGTGAATTAAATCCACATTTGCATTTTGATCCAGGGACAGTCGAGGAGCATAAATTAAAACTGTCTTCAGGTCATATTTATGGGGTTAAATAAGAGCTTAATATAGCCTGAAAGTATAAAGAAAGGTTACTCACCTGTACAGTAACTAGAGTTCTTCAATATGTGTGATCCCTATGCATATTCCATTGTGAGGTACGTATGTGCTGCATGTGCTTGATACTGGAAAAAATTTTCTAGCAGTATCCATGAATCCACACCTGCACCCTGCTCCTCGTTCTGAGCATACGGTGTGATGCAGACCAACCACTTCTCCAGTTACTTTTCTACCACAAAAAACTGCTAAGATAAGTCTCTGAGGCAGAAGGGAAGGAGGCTGGATAGCAGAATACGGACAGAGACCACTTAAATCAATGAGCTCTAGTTATCGCACAAGGTAAATACACTTTCCTTTAAGTGATGCTCCCTATCTGTGTTTCACTGTGGGTTACTCATGAGCAATATTTGTTGAGGAGGAGGGTTTAAGGAATCCTGTTGGACCAATGAGTAAAGGGCCACTCTGCCAAAGGATGCATCAGATGTGGAAGCTTGTCCCAGGGTGTAAAGTCTTGCAAAAGTATGAACACAGCCCCATATTGCTGCCTTACAGATTTCCAGGAGAGAGACATCTTGAAGTGAGACTACTGCTGCCCTCAAGTCCATCAAGAGTACAGGCGGGACCTTCAAGGTCTGGTCTGGCACCCTCGGGACATGACGGCCCAGACGAGGGATTCTGATGGACCAAGAGAGATTATTTCTGGCCCCCTGCTGCCAGCCCCACTCCCTGCCCTGCCACCCCATTGAGCTTCCTGGCTCCCCTGGAAGCACAGCTGGGTCACACGCCAGGCTCCTCCTCTCAACCCCGCTCAATTGGGTCATGTCAGGCTTCCCGGCTCCCTCTGCCCAGCCCAGCTAAGCCATGTACTGGTCTCCCTGGCAGCCCAGCTGGATCATGCGTGCTGGGTTTCCCCTTAGCCACATCCCAGCTGGGTCGCATGTGCTGTTCTTCTTGGTTCCCCCAACACACAGCTCAGCTGAGCCATGCACCAGCTCCCACCCTCCCCCCACAGCCCAGCTGAGCCATGCATTAGGTTCCCACCCACCCCCACACGGCACTAGGCTCCTGGGCCCCCGAACACTACAGAGCCCGGGGACTCTTAGATCCTGGAACATCCGTGGTCCTGCCAGACCATGAATGTTACCAGACCAGAGTCCCGTTTTATAGAAGTGCAACATATATTTGTGTTAGCTCTTCCGTTCTGAATTAGAGATCTAGATGGATTTTTATAATTAAGAGCTAATTTATTTTATCCGTACAGTTTCTCTTTTAATTTTGCGGTTTGTTATTTTGTAAAGAGTTTATTATAAGAGACCACAATATTTTAAAGTTGCTTGCTTAGCTCTGCTATCTGAGCTTTTGAATTTTTTAAAGTTGGTTTTATAGTTTTAAAGAATTTTTTTTACATTGTAAGCTATAAGCAACTGACATTTAAGTTACTCACATTTTAAAATTGCAATATTTGTTTCTATATTAAAGCTTAAAGGGTTTGTTATGTTTTAAACATGCAAGATAACATTTTAACCTTGCTTTTGATAACTGCTGTATTTTAGCAACATTTTGTTTTTCTGGTGATTTTGTATTATTTTATTAATTTCATTTTACTATTAAAGAGGTTTGCAAGCTTATTGTTATAATTAATGTTTTTGATAGGTAATTTTATTTTTTAAATTTAGCACTATATTTTCTTTTTTGCATTTAGGTTACATGAGTACATTAAAAAGCAGATAAACTCTACAGAAGTTTTGTGTGATTTTGATTACATTATTTTTAGTTACATCATTTTGCTTATGAAAAATTCCTAGGCATCACTGCACCAAATTATACCACTATAACTGGGTTAATTATTAAATTAAGGATTTAATATTTGAACATTTTAATACTTCATTTTTTAATTATTTAGTGAGTTTTGAAGTGTAAATTAATGCAAGTTTTTAAGTGCACGTTTCTAAAATTACTTCAATTTTATTTTATAAGACACTTCTGAAAACTTTATTAGCTACTAAATATTGGGATTGCAACTTTATTTTATTTTTATAGTAACAACTTGTTTAGTGAAAAGTCAGATGAGTTGCTACATTTTTAAAAAGGACTCTAGGGCAACCCTCCATGTCTTGAGCAATCTACACATCAGCACCACACACATCAGCACCACAGAAGAAATACAACAAGCCTCAGCCTTACAAAGAACCAGCCCCTCAAACCTTTTATCATGAGAGGTGTTACAAGCCACACAGAAAGTGTCAGAGAATGCAGTGTAGCAAACTAACATCGTCCCTTGTCTCTAGATGCAGGAAATAATGTAAATGGGCTTGCTGCTTAGGGTTGCCAGGTGTCCGGTTTTGAACCAGACAGTCCGGTATTTGAGGATTCTGTCCAGGAAAAAAATGAAGAAAATACCAGACATAAAAAATGTCTAATTAGGTAAGTTTTATTATTATTAGGAGTATCAGTACCTAGTTGCGAACTGCCTGGCTGGTAGACACGCTCACGCTGCGTAAGAATGTCTACCAGCCAGGCAGTATGCAACTACACGAGGGGGAGGTGGGATGGAATCCCCAGGGCCGGACTTGCTCATGCTTCGCTGGGATTGTGCACGGGATGGGCAGCATCCCGGGATCTGCGTGTGCCCGGGTCAGTCCCTCTCTCCGCCGGCTGATTCTTTTCCCCCGCTCTGTCCAACGCCCTCCTTACCAGCCCTGCTTCCCATCGGCCAGTCCCGGATGCAACTACACGAGGGGGAGGTGGGATGGAATCCCCAGGGCCGGACTTGCTCATGCTTCGCTGGGATTGTGCACGGGATGGGCAGCATCCCGGGATCTGCGTGTGCCCGGGTCAGTCCCTCTCTCCGCCGGCTGATTCTTTTCCCCCGCTCTGTCCAACGCCCTCCTTACCAGCCCTGCTTCCCATCGGCCAGTCCCGGGCGCAAGATCTCGCGGCCAGTGTAGACAGGCGGCAAGTTTTCTTGCCAATGTAGACACAGCCTATGTGTTTTAATTGCTAAACTTCTTACATGTATATAAAGTAACTTTGTACATGGTATGATTTTAGTAAAACAAAAAAAGCAGTCATGTAGCACTTTAAAGACTAACCAGATAGTTTATTAGGTGATGAGCTTTTGTGGGGCAGAGCCACTTCTTCAGCTCATCACCTAAAACTATTTTGTTAGTCTTTAAAGTGCTACATGACTGCTTCCTGCTGGCCTGTTCCCCCCTCTCCCCCATTTGAGATCAAGTGTGTCCGGTATTTTTTTTTTAAGCCACCTGATAACCCTAGTGCTGCTGCACCTCCTGATTGAAGCGGTTTCCATAATGCAGAGGGTTTATAGTAGGGGTGGGCAAGAGGCAGCTAGCGGACCAGATCCAAGCTGCCAAGATGGTGGATTCAGCTTGTGGCCCTTACACAGTAGTTGCAGACTGCTAATTGCTATGCAGTCTGGGCAGGGAGGAGAAAGCTTTGCACGGTGTCTCCACCCCCTAGCAAAATTCCCCAGCTCCCACTGGCCAGTTTCCCACCAATAGGAGCTGAGAAATTATGTTGAAGGCAGGGGCAGCGAATGAAGCTTCCCACTGGGAAAAACTTTCAATGTGATCTTTGAAAGCATCAGTCCCTCTACCATATCAACTTGTTGAAGACTCCAGTATCAATTTGGTGACCAGCTAGCTCATTTTTGCCAGGCCTGGTATCTTATCACAACAGATAAATGGGATCTGGAAATAATCACCATTGGCTAACACTGTGTAGTCCCCGTTCCCCCATGAAACTTTAAAAAAAAGTCTTGTTCCCTCTTCAAGGAACCCTCTCATGTGAGGATGCTCGACTGAGATGTAGATTCCCTACTCCATCTGCAAGTTATGGAACAAGCACCCCCTCATCATAGGGAGAAAAGATTTTGCATTCAAAGTTCTTCCCAGTTCCCAAGAAGAAAGGAGATGGAGAACTACTGTAGACCTCCCCATCTTAAGAAAGAGTTTACTGGAGGAGTTTAAAGGCTTTAATATTGAAAAAGTTAGTGCAGGTTGTACCACCAAAATCTGGGACTCTCTGGTCCAGCAACATCCATGGTCCAGCAGGACTACAGATGCTCCTGGAGCAGAGAGCCTAGGAGCTTAAGGGCAGGAGGGCCAGGTGAGCGGGACACCAGCCCAGCTGGGGGCCATGCGCGATTGGGACCAGAGCCCTCCAGCAGCCCCCAGGAGCACAGGGCCAGGGCTGGAGCCTCACGGCTTCCTCAGGCTGTGCAGGGCTGGGCGGGGGCTGTGCAGGGATGGGGCCAGAGCCCAGCAACTTCCCCCGGCTGCTCAGGAATGGGGCTGGAGCCCCACGGCTTTTCTTGGCTGAGAGGGGCTGGAGCCCAAGCCCTGGGGCTTTCCCCAGCTGCATGGGACCAGGGCTGGGGCTGTGCATGGCCAGGGTCAGAGCCCCAGCCCTGTGACTGCTCCTGGCTGCACAGGAACATAGCCCTGTGGCAGGAGCTGGAGGCTCTGCTGCCCAGGGAGCCAGCAGTAGCTTGGCAAGCAGCCCAGCCAGGTTGAAGAGGAAGGTGAAGCAGGGATGCGCAGCCTGCCAGCAGCGGGAGATGGGCTTGGGAGTTGGTGGCAGGAGACCTCCCCTGGTCCTGCTAATTCTCTTGTTTGGGACCAGTCAGGTCCCAATGATGGTGGACCAGAGAGGTCCAACTTGTACTACGTTTGAGAAGTGGACTAAATATGAAGGTGAACCCTTTGGAATTTTCAGAGAAGTATTAGGTTGAGACTGGGATCAGGGTAAAGAACAAACTTTGGAGAATAATATGAAATAAAAATGAATAAAGAATGCTTGACAGAGCACAGCAAACATCTGCTAAATGCCATAAATAAATACATCATTGGAAAAGCACAGCAAAAGTCTATTAAATACCTCTCATTTATCTATTTTTTGCTATTTTATTAGATCTTTCCCATAGGAAAGGAAGGTACAAATGGCTTCTGCCCTGTTTTCACAATATTTCTACCCTGTGATCAGCCTGAATCAAGCGATAAGCATACATCAAACAGTTTGAAGTAAATCACAAATGTGTTGTGATTTCAGTAATCACAAACTAAGCTACTTTGAAATTCAATTGAAAACTATATCCTCTGAAGACTGGAGCATGGCACATACAGATTTACTTAGAGCAAAACATCTCCTTATAGTTCACTTTTCAGACTATATAAAAGTAATATTACGTGTATACTATGTGTAAGTCAGGATACAGTTTCGCAATAATATCTGTGATAGCTCAATCATTCTTTGTTTCTGTTTCAAGTTAAATGGCAAGTGTGCAACATTGTTGGAAAAATCAATAGTTGTGCTATCAAAACTGAGAAAAATAGGAACTACAGAAAAACAATTGATTAAAAAATACCTGTTGGCTATTCCTTCTTCTAGAAGTCCCATGACTTGTTTGTAGTCTGTAACTAAATGCTGCGACAATCCTGCCAGAGATTAAAAAAGTGAAGTCGGACGGTTAAAAATAGATCTTACTCAGGAAACATTGTTTCACTCTAGTCACTTGATCCAACTGTGCACTAAAGTCACTATCACAATTCACTGGAGAGAAGGGGTATACAAACATTCTGTCTGAGAGTTAGGCCTAGTCTACACACAATTTTTGTATCCGTAAAACTATTTTGGTAAGCTTCAGTTTTGTTCTGAAGCACAAATAGTTACAATGGTACAACCGAAATGTGGATGCATTTATATTGATATAAATGTGTCTTATACCTGTATAGCTTATTCCTACTCCCATATAGGAATAAATAAGAATGGTATAAGCATTTTTATACCAATATAACTGCATACACAGGAGGTTGACTTTTTTGTCACTTTAACTACACCAGCATAGTTCCAGTGGTACAATTTATTCAGCCATTGTTTCAGCAGATGTAAAGTAAAATGTTCAGTTCAAATCAATCAAATTAATCAGAAAATGAGAAAAACTTCTGTCAGGAGTCTTTGGTGCTCACTTCATCAGTCGAATACCATGCTTACAACCTGCAACATACATCTCTGCATAAAAATCTATGCCCTACTCCATGCCAAAGTGCATCCTGGTTATGGTCCTCAAAAGAGTCAAGCATTAATACAGCTGCCCTGCGGGGAAACAAACAAACAAAACAAAACAAAAAAGGAGGAAATTGACTGGCCAGGAATTAAACATGTGGAAATACAAAAACTCCTAGGCCAAATGGACTGGCAGTGAGTAACACGGTCCCACTGGAGGGCAGTATGCTCTCTAGCATCTTACTAGCATCTTATAAAATGTAAATTGTAGCAGATAAACTGTTGGCTTCAATGGGCTTAATCCTGGGATGAAACTGACCTCACGTGTTTGCTCTGTCTTATTTTTGGTGGTTGTAGTATCATGGGTGATAACCTAGGAACCACAGACATGGCCTAGTGCTGCACCATACAAGATGCTATAGAAAATAACCTATGCCTAAATTGTTTATTGTGGGGATAGAGTGACATGTTACTCGTATTTTTTGTTGAATTTCAATAGTACAACAATCCAGGAAACATGTTTTCTTTTTAATATGTGCCACAGAATTATGTATGGGGAAGAAGGTGAAGAAAAGGTTTACTTTATTACCATAAAATAATTTATTGTAAGAATATTATTTCTTAAGATTAATTTTAAATGAGCAAGCAAATTTACATTAGTTGGCACCATAAAAAAAACCAAACAATATACAGTTTCACTGGAACATCTTATCTGCAGGAAGCAAAGAGTTTCTGTGCTATAGGTATCAACTTCCTTATTCCACAACTTCTATAGAAACCCTCTTCTAAAAGGTCTCATTTTAATAATTAACGTTATTTTTGTATCAAGTATGAAGTCAAGTAGAAACCCTCTTCTAAAAGGTCTCATTTTAATAGTTAAAGTTATTTTTGTATCACGTATGAAGTCAAAATCAATTGCTTACCCTAGTCAATCATTTAAAAGCTCAGCAAGACATAAATGGCTATTTCAGAGATAGAGGGACAAAGTATGTCTTTAGATACTAAAAGGTTAACAAACTGTTTAGAGATCAGAATTTGGCTCAAAGATGAGTGATTTGTTTTAGCCCTTTTATATCTACCTGATCTAAAGAAAACAAGTTCTCACACCAGCATCACATTTATTCACAACTAAAAGAATTTCATCAGTGGCCTAAAAAAATGCAAAATTACAGGTTGGTTTACAAAAACAAAGCATTTATTCTACTGTTTGGAATTGTATTAGATATTCATTGAACTCCAAAAGATGTAATGGCATTTTTCTGTCACATAAAACAATAACTAGTTACTGTTCAAAATGCACCAGCATCTGCAAATCTACCGAGTATGGAAAAGCACCTTGTATTGTTCCTCTGATCACTTTTAAGGATTTTTAATCTTTTGAATAAAAAACTAGATATGTGATGGGAAGGCAAAATGATATTTATTATAAAATTTCCACTACATTTAAGTAATTACTGACACTAATCTCCCGCCTCCCCATACACAAAGATTTATTATAAAAAGGCAAAAGAAAAATGATTTGTTCTGTTGGAAAAGGAAAGGGGTTTTTCTGCTACTTGGAAAAAGAGTCTATTTTTAAGAACCACAGAAAAATGTCAAAAAACTCTGTCTGGACTAGAAATCTATCTCAAACTAAAAAGTCTCAGAGTAACAATTCAAATTGCATCATTTCCTGATTTGAAAGAGGCTGATTTCTTAACAGTGCAACCATCTGTAAGAGAGAATTTTGAAACCATTCCAATCTGAAGCACTGAAACACTTTCAGCATTTTAAACACTAGAAACGTGCTGCCTTTACACTGAAAAAACGATAATCTGGAAACTATTCAAAATACTTAGTGTTGGGATTTCCTGACTGGACTTGCAAATGGAAAATGCATTGCCTCTAACATGAAAGTAACTAGGCAACCCTAAGGGGTTTCCTCTTGGGTTCCCTTCCTTGTCTGTAGTTCATCCAACTATTGGCTTCTATACACTAGAGATTACTAAAACAAACTATGTAAGTGACACCTGCAGTATACAAGGGAGCTCTTACCCAATATTAAAATGTTTCTGTTACCCCTGAACTGATGGCTCATGCACAACAAGTACAATGCAAGTACAGATGCAAATTTGGATATGCTGCAATGTACTGTGAGATAATGGGAAATCTCTGGACTTTGCTTATGTTCATCTGTTGAACAATAATTTGTTCCATGCAACAGATTGTCTGGTAGAGGAGTGTAAACATCCTCCTACGCAACTATAGGCTATAATTAAATGTCTATAATTCAGAAAATATGTCCTCCCAGCTATCAGTAATACAATTCCTATGGCATGATCCTGCAAAGACTTCACATGCAAAACTTCTGTGGATTTCAAAGGGCAAGGGCTCACACAGAAGGACTATAGGGTTATACCTTTACATTACTGAACTCAGCAATTATTGGTTTCAGTAATACAGTATAAGCAGCTCTTACTGGCATATGTGATCCACTTTACACCTGAATTGGAAGTTCTTCAAAGTAAGCCCCCTATCCTGATTAGCAGGGAGCAAAATATCTGAACGCTCTCCCCCTTCATCTGACATATAAACTATCAAGTACACTTCCCCAGGAATATACGTGATTAGCTCTTCTTTATTAACCTCTCACTAAAAACAAAATAACGCCACCTCACAAAAAAAACAGACCACATGCAATATATATCATACACATGGTAATAGTTGTTAAATGCACAACACACAGAGTACCATACACATACAGAACTATGTCATCTAAGTACAGACCCTAAGACACTGACTCATCAGTATCAATTCTATTCATGTGGTACCCTAACAACCGTGTAATACTACCACATGACAGTTATAACAAGAAGTTAGTTCATTTTTAATTCATCCAGCCATTTTTTTCTAACATTTTGAATCATGTTAATTATGAGCAGAACTGCAAGTTTCTTGAAGAGATCTTTATCAGAATGTGAGAATGTTTGTCATGGGACAGATATAGGGGCAGGGCTAATTGAATGCTCAAACTGGATTTCCTCATGTGACCAGAAATGGTACTTTCTAATTGTGTAATGGCTTTAATATTATGCTTTTCTCATAGTACAAAATAAGAAAAAGTCAGGGAAGGGGAAATTTTAAGGGACACAACAGAACTCCAAAATTATAGTCACTATCCTAATTACACACAATATTCCAGGTAACAGCTGAGTATTGAATTCTAATTTAAAGAACTAATGATAAATATAAAATACCAGAACTAGAAGAAAACAGACAGATTTCATCTCAAGAGTAGGGATGTAAGCGACTAGTCAACTAGTCCCTCAATTAGTTGCTTTCCCTTCCTGCGGGAGGAGCAGGAACCAGTGCTTGGGGGAGCCAGCTTAAAAGCTGGTTCCCTCAGCACTGTCTCTGTGAGGGGGAAGGGTGGTAGTGGGGACAGGGCACTGTGCTTCTACTTTTTAAATGTATTACGAGCCTACCTGCTCTTAATACACTTACAAAGCAGAAGCGCAGCAGGGGGTGGAGGGGAGGGAGGAGGACCCAGTGCAACCCAGGACCGCTGATTTCCAGGCTCGCACTGAGTTTCCCGCGCTGTGCCTCAGCCTTTTAAACGTATTAAGATCCTGCCAACTACACAAACAAAAAATGGTATTCACAGTTTAGATAGAGTGAAACTGAGGAGCTGTTTGTGAAGCATTTTGAGATTCTTGGATGAAGAATCCTATGTAATATTATTATATCTTGCAAAGCTAAAATAATTGACTACAAATGTAGTTGGCAGTTCTAAAATTATCCGGCTCTTTTAAAATTCAGCCACAGTATCTTGATTTTCCATTTCCATTTCCCTCCTCTCCTAAAAAAACCCCCTGCATAAGATTAGAAAAATTCAGCCACAGTATCTTGATTTTCCGTTTCCATTTCCCTCCCTCTCCTAAAAAAAACCCCTGCATAAGATTAGGTGGCATCATAATGGCAAGGAGGGGAAACTTACAAAAGGGACAGAGTCAGGGATTCTATGATTCAAAACCAGAACAAGCTAGTACTTGATCTGATATGACAGAACCAACACAATTTTATCTTATGTGCATTTTACACATTAAAAGAATACTTCTTAGGTGTCAAATTTGCTACAAACTATTAGGCCAATAGCAAAGAGCAATTCCAGAAGGAATTTGGAGTTCTGCCCACTGTGTTGCTAAATACCACGTGCCCACAATAAAAAGGAAATGGGTGTATTTACTTTCCAGATAGACTCACCCATATTTATAGTTTGCATCAGTTTGAAAAGGTCTCTTTTTCCATTCTTGACTATTAATATGATTTATATGGTTTTAAAATAACTTATTCAGGGTTTGTCTAAACTGCCACTTTACTGCACTGTAACTCTCAAACTCAGGTGTGTAAAACACACACACACACATGCAAACCCTGAACACAGCAAGTTACAGCACTGTAAAGCACCAGTGTAAACAGGCAGAGCTGTTAGCTACTACCCTCATGGAGGTGGTTTACCTACAGCCCTGGGAAGAGCTCTCCCAGTGCTTGTGCTGTGTTAATACTGCCATGTTAAAGTGCTACCACAGCAACCCTATAAAATCAAAAGTGTCGAAAAAGCCTCCATTACTTCTACTGCCTTTAGTGGACTGATTCTGCAGAAATCACTGACCAAATGTATTACTTTTCAGAGGGCAAATTCAGTGCTATATAATGCACCTCGAACAACGTAAGCACCAACAGCTGAGAACATTTACACTTCTGACAGTAGGGCAGAGGCAGAAAGAAAAGAGACAAGGAAGCGGGAAAATTGGTAGGATAAAAGAAGGCTACGTCTAGACTAGGGATGTTAAATATCGGTTAATTGAATAGTCAAGTAACCTCATGAATTCTTATTGGTTAGTCAACTATTTTATAATCCCAGGGGTGGGGCTGACAGCCAGCGCACTCCAGCTTTTCTCCTGAGGAGCCCCCCTGCCACTCCGTGCTGCTGCCTCTGTATCAGAGGCATCAGCAGAGAGTGGCAGGTGGGAACTGGTCTGCAAGGGGAGCCAGTTTCAAAAGCAGATCCCCTCGCGGACTGGCTGCCTGTCGCCCTGTGCTGCTACCTCTGATAAAAAGACAGCAGCTCCTGTCTGGGGGTGTGTCTGAGCTCCAAGACTCAGTATGAGCTGGATCTCAGCCAAGCTGCCTGCCCACCCGGGTCCTAATATACTTTAAGCGCAGCGGGGGTAGGTCCCAGACCCACCATAAGCCAGGATTGAGCCAGGCTGCTGTGCTGGCCAGCCTGCTAAAAATATTTACTGGGGAAGGGGGTGGGGAAATGCATATAGTCTATAGCATTAACCTATAAGCTTTCATTTATCGGTTAATCTACTACACTATTACATCCCTAATCTAGACTGCAGAGCTTTTCCGGGATACCAGAGGTATCCCGGATAAGCTCTTCTGCGTCCAAGGAATGCATTTGCTTTTTCAGAACAGTTTCCAAAAAAGCGGACATATTCTTTCACCATCCCTATATTCTTGCCAGTGAGAGGAATAAGGGATGTTCCGAAAGGAGTTTTTTCCAAAATTTGGCCCCGTGTAGACAAATTTCAGAAAAGCCCCTTTGGGAAAAAAATACCCAAATTGCAGTTCACAATTTGCGTATCTTTTCCCGACTTTTCTCTGCAGTGTAGACATAGCTGAAGGTAAGAGAAAATATGAGGACTGAAAAGAGGAAAACAAAACAGAGAATCCACAATAAACAATTCTATTGAAAGGTGTAAGTTTGGAAACAATGTAGAACTGAATCAGAATGTTTTTATAGCTACAGAAAACATACATTTGTAAACTCCTAGATTAGAAATCTAAAACATAGTAATTCAGTGGAAAGAAATACATTGTTTCACAAGATGTTTCTGACAGGAAAATGAAGCTTTTAGGGTTTACAGATAAACTGCTATCAACTAAATGGCTATGTAAGTTTTTTTCTGCGCTTAGAAAGATATTTCTTCCTTGTATTAGCCAAGTGCAGTAAGGCTTGGAGTCAGATTATCAGCCTAGATATATCAATAACCTGATCCAATACAGTAAATCTTATGTTTTATATTTTTATTTAACACATTCACTACACACACAAAATGAGTCCTTCCTCTAGAATTTCACCCTCTTCAAATACTAAGAATTAGATTCCATGTTCTGCGATATCTTTTGCTGTAAAGCGTTTTAATTCTTCTAACTACATATTTCATGTTGACTGTTTAATAACTGGAAAGAATGGAAATATTAAAAATCATATTAGGAATGTAAATGAATATACAAAATAGCCAAACAGCACTGTAATCAGTACTGAAACTCACTCTTACCTTGCACATATGGACCTGTCTCAGGGTGCTCTCGGACACGAAGTGTATAAGGTTTCTTCTGGTTTGATTGCTTTAACAAATCTCGGACACGCTCATTATAGATTTCAAGGAAACTGAAAAAAAAGTAAATAAAATGATATATTTTTGGGCATATTCTATTCACAAAAAATATCTGAAGTTGTTCTTAGGACAATGAAAATTTGCACCAGCAGCCTGGGCACAGATATTCCACATAAAAAATTAAAGCATTCATCTTCCTTATCTCTCACATTACGTCTTCTTACCAGTTGTACATACAGACACTTGGAAAGGAACTGAGAAGCACTCAATTGACATTAAGCAAGGAATAGCTGTCCCCTCTTGCCAGCTGGTTGGAAATAGTGTTGATGCGTTAAATCATGTGCATTGCCAACACAATATATTCCTGCACTTTTAATGTTGTTCCCAACTCATCAATTGTTCAGAGTACATAACTCCACAAAGGAGATGGTGGTTATGAATGAGAAATAAATGCAGTGTATGGTCCAAATTTTAAAGAGTTAAAGAAGCAAGAAATGGACTCTTCTTAACCAACTATTACTTAACTGCATATTCTTTGGGATCTAACAGTGTACACACAGCATCCAAAGAACTACACTTGGACTGAAAACCAAATAGCAAGATTTTCCCACACTCGACAAAATGACTGGCAGCCCTGAATAGTGAGCTTTGACTAGGGAACTACATAATTGTAAATGTTTAGAAACATACGGCTAAAGATTACGAGACACTCCTACCTGACTTCTATTCGGCAAGATGCTGGCTGCTCTGAATAATCATCCTCCCTTGAAAAAAGGCCCTGAACAAATCAAAAGTTTATGTTTTTTTCTTTAAAATAAAAATAAAATTAAAAACAATTTAAACACATTCAAGTTCATAAAAGAAACAAATACCTCACATATACGAGGTGTCAACCCAATGGATGCCTTTAAATAAAAACAAATCAAAAGAAAAATCATTAAATGATATGATCATAGTCCCAGTTTCTCTTATAAAAAGCCATTTTAATAACTATAAACAAAGCTATGGGCAACATCCAACTATTCCAGCATCAACTACCCACTAAAACATGGATAGATACATAAGCAGTCAATGTGGAGATCACAGCACAACCTATCTTGGCACACTCAGTGCTAGATATTCCAGTGAAGGCATCTCTAGATGTATTCACTTAACAGGATGATGTACTCTGACAGTTATGGGTATAGCCAATCTCACTCTCACTCTCACTAAAAGACATTGTGGGAAACTTTTCATAGGCCATGGTTGCTGAAAAGTTTAACATTAAGATGACACCACTTGCCACAGCCATGGCTTCTGGAAAGAGTTGGAGCCACCCTCAGGCTCCACCTCTCCAACTCAGAATTTCTTTGAAGTATGGTGTGAAGATTTTTAAAAGGTATATTTGAAATGTAACAAATTGAGGAAAACACAACTTTACCTAAATAGATGCATTTGTGTGGATGTGAAAGTTCTTTACGGACCAACCTGGTTGATTTTCTAGCTATTAACAGTGCTAATAATGTTTTACAATAAATACAGTTTATTAAATATTGAATCAAAGCGGAATTCTTCCTGAAACACAAATCACTTTCTTATTAAGGAATCTAGTGACAGCCACATTACTACAATGAATGTGCTATGGGAAAAAGTAATGAAATTCTCTCCCTTCAATTTATATAGGTTTTCAGGGAGACTAACTACCTTTCTCTCTGGACTACAAATCCAGTAGCCCATCTACTGGAGCCACTGGTCTGGATGCTTTTAATATATAAAGGCACTTTCTGTGGGGTCCCATCACTCAAATATCTTAGAACAGAGTGGCTTTGAGGAGAATATGCTACTGTTTCATCTCCAAAGCTTCTATTTAAATTCATTTAATTATTGGAAGTGAAACAAGTATGATCACCTCAGACGGCTAAGTCTTCTCACAGAAATGCAGCAGAAAAGATGGCACAAACAATTATTCAAAATTTTAATTAGCAAAAGTAATTTAACTTCTACATGGTTGTCTGATTATCAAAAACAGTGGCAGTAGAATATTTTTTAGAGACTGAGGCTGGCTGATACAAAGAAGTATATGTTCGGTAGAAAACCTGATTTCTTTATATTAATTATTTTAACCTATGCTATTTAGCTATGGTCTTAATTATGTACTTAATTTTAAGCACAGTAATCCCAAATAAAACATACTTAAACATTTGGCTTAACTGGGATCTTAATCATGAACTTAAATTTAACAAACACATGAAAAACAAAACAGTGTTATGCAGGCTGTTACTCACTGGAGTTCCCATCATCGTATATGTTTTTCCTGAACCGGTCTGTCCATATGCAAAAAGACAGATATTGTAACCCTTAAAAGCACCAGACAGCACTGAGGTGCCAAGGTCCTGGAAAACCTGGAACGACAAAGGAAAAAAATGCACTCAGTCTTTCCCCCTCCTTGGAAACGCCCACTGCCATTCAAACATCATTAGTCTATTTTAAGCCTAAAATGATAAAAACTTCCATCCCATTTGTCTTTTATTTAATGGGACTAACATATGTGCTCATTTGTTTTAACCTTTCCTCAAAGATCAGGTTTCTAAACTTTTTCTAAAACAATTTTTGTTGCCCTCCCCTGAACTCTCTCTAATTTGCCTATCTTTCTTAAGGTGGGTTGGCCAAAATTAAATACAGTAGTCCAGCTGAAGGCTCATGAGTGACAAAGAGAGCAGGACAATTACATCCTATGTTCTACCCTATAACATTTATATTAATATGCCCCAGAATATTATTTGCAACTGTGTCTCTAACTCATTCAATATTGATCCTCTATAACATCAGATCCTTTTCTGCAGTATTACCACTGAGCCAGTTATTCCCTGTTTGAGAGCTATGCATTTGATTTCGTCTTGCTGATTGCAGACCAGTTTATCAAGATCATTTTTAATTCTAATCCTGTTCTCCTAAGCACTTGCATATGCTCCTAGTTTGGCTTCATCCTCAAATGTTACAACCATATTCTTCTCTCCACTATCCAACTCATTGGTGAAAATATTCAATAGTACCAGATCCAGGACAGATTCCTGTAAGACCCAATTAATTAGGGCTTCCAAATGTAACTGTGAACCATTATTAATTGCTCTTTGGATTAGGGATGTAAAATCCAATTTAACTGGTTAACCAGTTAAATGTTATGTTTAACTGGTGGGGGAAGGGGCGCTCCAGCCTGGCTGGGCTGGACCAGCTCCCCTACTCATGGTGGACCAGCTAGAGTGCCATGCCCCGTCCCACATGGACCAGGGCTGCTCTGGCTTACTGGTTAACCCGTTAAACATTCACATCTCTACTTTGGGTAAGGCTGACTTTTCCCCCCGTCTGTCCATCTGTTTTCTCTTGTCTTATACTTACATTGCAAGCTATTTGAGTCAGGGACTTTCTTTTTGTGCTGTGTGGTGTCCTGGATCAATTCTACAGCCACAAGGCACTCCAGCAATGTAAATAATACAAAATAATAAAGCCACATCTACACTGCAGGAATTTTGAGCAAGAACTTTTTGCGAAAGAGAACGACCACACTGCCATGTGCTTTTGCGCAAGAGCATCCATGGCAGTGTGGACACTCTCTTGCGCAAGAAAGCTCTGATGGCCATTTTAGCCTGTTGCCTGTCTACACAAAAGGCTTACTCCTCATAGAAAGAGGAATAACTCTTGTGCAAAAACCCCTGTGTTCTTACAATTAACTCTACGTTTTCTTGCACAAGAACGCGCTTGTAGTGTGGACGCTCCACAAGTTTTTGTGCAAAAATGGCTGGTTTTGCACAAAAACTCTGCAGGGTAGACATAGCATAAAAGAGCTGACTATTCCAATCATCAAGGCCAAAGGTTGGCTATTGCTAAGCATGGCAGAAAGTAGCAGATTTTACTTGCTGCTCAGATCCTACTTTGTTTTTTTCCTGCTTGGAGTTGACTGTGCCCAACACACTGATCCCATCCCCAATATACCAAATCCCCACTCCACTACAGTATTGTCTCCTCGGCAGCATGCACAGGGCTCTGGAGTCCCCTTTACACAAGCCGTCAACTGCTAAGTCCTCCAGCACAGGATACATTAACTGAGTATGGTTACAGCCTTTCAAAGAAAAATATTTTAAGTATAAAAATCTTTTCTACTCATGCAAAAAGTTAGCTATATACCATACTTGCTGCAAAAATTCAGCCAACTTGGTTTCTTTCACAGATATGTCAATGTATTAATCTTAGCAATGGTGGATAAAGAGAACAAATACACTGAAGGGACAATTTACCCCAATCCCAAGCAATAATAATAATAATAATCAGAGGTATCAAAAATAAAAACTCTTGAGACTTCAATTTGCAGGTCATATTACAGTTAAAAACACAACAGATGCAGAAAATTCAATAAAGTTCCAACTCCACTCAAGGCTGAGACTATACGCATATTTCATTAATCAAGAACAACTTGGCTATTTGTATTCTCTGATAATAAACCATCTGAGCCAGAAGTCAAATGTCAGTTGTAGTTCACGAGCAGTGGCAGAATGTCTAACAAAGTATTCTGCATCAGGAATGACAGCCCCTGGAAAGTTCAAGCAGGAAGACAGACTTGTATAACCATATAGAACACCTTTATCAACATATACTGTCTGAAAATATAGCCAGACACTGTAATATGATGGATTAAAACTATGCTGAACAGATCATCATCATCCTGTAATCTGAAACTGCATGTTTTTAATAGAGGAAATTTTTCATGTATTAATAACATTTATATGGCACAGTTTTTACAGACATAAATAAGATCTATTCTCTGTCCTGAAGAATTTCCTATCTTTATTTTTTTAAAGAAGTGCAAGAATAGGAGACAAGACAGCAGGACACATGAGTGGGTGAGATCCTGGCTTCGATTAAGTCACTGGTTAAAATGTCTATTGACTTCCTGGCAGCCAGAATTTCAGACTGTGTTCTAAGTCCAAAGAAGACATGGAGCAGAGATTGGAAAAAGATGGCTACAGCAATGATAAGACAAAAATACTGAATAAGAAGAAAAGGGAAAAAATAGGGCTGAAATTATGAAGGACCTTGTAGGTGAGGATAAAGAGTTTGCATCTGGTGTGGCAATGGTTAAAAAAAATGTTTTCTTTCTGCCCAGAATGCTGGACAGAAGGATGCAGTAATAAATTCATATTCTCTCAGAGCTACTGGGAAACTGTTCTCTTGCAGCACTGTTCTCTCCTAAAAGCACCCAGACACCACCAGGCTTTTTAAAAATTTCTCATCACATACACATTTGAAATATAAAATAAGATCATAAGCAGCATTTTGTCCATGAGGCCTTCTTTGAGCTGTGGGAAAATGTAACTGCAGGAATTTGATCTGGGGTTAGAGTATTCTTGGTGGTTGCTTTGTAGTAGTGTTTCAGCATCTGTTTTCATCTCATTGGTTTCTGTGGAAAGGGAAATGTGCTTTTTAAAATAACTGAATAAATATCCAATCAGAATATGGACCGGATCCTGCAGTTATTACCTCACACAATCAATTCTGTGGACTTCAAGGGGACTGCTCGAGAGTAAGGTCTGCAGAACTGTCCGTGCTTCAGGGAGCAAATGTTTGCTAATAGAAAACTGCCTCAAATATCCCGTAACTCAATGGTCTCCAACCTTTTTACACCCAAGATCACTTTTTAAATGTCAGAACAAGCCAAGATCTACCGCCCCATCCTTCCTTGAAGCCCCACCCACTCTATTCTCCTCCTTTCCATCACTTACTATCCCCAGCCCTTATACACTCTATAGTGCCACTTTTTTTTCGATTCTTCTGTAGGGAGAGGTTTTTCCAACATTTGGCCTGTCTAGACTGGACCAAATGTCAGAAAAACTTCTTCTTTCAGAAGCCCCCTTATTCCTCATGGAACGAAGAATACAGGGGTTACCAAAAGAGCATGTTTGCTCTTCCAGTAAAAAAAGTGGAAGAACAAACGTATCCCTGGATGCAGAAGCGTTTTTCCAGGATATCTCTGGTGCATTTCTAACACTTCTGTTAGTCTATAAGGTGCCACAGGACTCCTCGCCGCTTTTGCAGATTCAGACTAACACGACTACCTCTCTGATACTTAGTGGTGGTGGTCTGCCAGGGACTAACCCTGTGGGCTGCCGTTTTTTTATTGCCCATCCCTGCTCTAAGACCAAGAACTAAATGGTCTAGATGGTGCTTGGTCCTGCTGTGAGGGCAGGGGACTGGACTTCATGACCTCTAGAGGTCTCTCCCAGTTCTAGTGATCTATGATTCTAATTAGCAGAGGGTAGGTATTGGGATCTGAAACGGGGAAGGAATTGCATGGAGGCAGCAGATTCTCCATGCACAGAGGCTTCTGTGATATAAACTTGAGTGTGAATTTGAAGTGCAGTAGCTGTTCCACCCTAACTCCCATGCCACATTAAAGGTACCTTTGTATGCTTTAGTTTAGTTCTGAGGGCTGCTTGGGAGTTTTAAGGGTAAATTGGTGGGAAAGGAAAGAACAGTGAAGAGTGGAGCAGGGATGTTAAATTGTGATTAATCAGCTAATCGAGTAGTTGATGGAAGTTCCATCGACTACTTGATTAGTTGATGGGGGGGGGGGCACTTGGTACCCCTGCTGTGACTCTTCAGTTTAAATGTAGTTGGAGCTGGGCTCACAATATTTGAAGGTGCATCCTGTTTTATATACTCTAACGTGGCATCAAAGAAGGCTTTTGAGATGTTTTAGGTAATCAATTGTTATGGCACTCAGTAAAACATCAACTCCTCTTACTTTAGCTTTTCAACCCTGGGTATCTTCAGATTTTGACAGAGGCTTTACATTGCTGTAGAAGCAGCATTCTCAGCCCCTAGCTTGAAAATGAACACTTATGTTGTAAAACAGAGGTAGCTAATAGTAAATCAAACATTCTATGCTGCCATGATCCCAGGTCAGTTACCTCCAAGTGTTTCTCTGATTAGAGTACTGTTGCAGAGCACTTGGACCTAAATACAGTGATTCTCAGTTCACCAATATTTTCTGAAGTCCAGAACTATTTTAGAACACTATAGGAATACATTTCAGACCAACCACTTTCAAAACTGCAGCAGTACTGTCATTAAAGAAACAAAAACATTTCACAGTTGCTAAAGCTCAGCAAGGCCACCAGTCAGCAACTAGAGTTATGGCCGTGGTAACCAACCTGTCAATAGTGATCAACCGTTCGATCGTGAGGACTCAGCCAGTCGATCATGAGGCGTTCGGGTCTCCCCCATTTCCCTCCACCCCCAAGAAGCCCCACTACTTACCTCCAGCGACAATGGAAGTAGTGCCAGCTTCCTGTGGGGTGGACGGAAGTCCTGTAGCTGCGCACCACTTCCGGAGGTTCCAGAAGTGCGC